GGCAAAGTGGGGTTATAATGGGACCTATTAAAGGAGCCGGCGTGGTTACAGGAAGCCTTTTCCTGGGTGTCAAGGTCGTGTTGAAAGAGACTGAGTAGAAGCGAGCGTGACTAACGGCCAAACCCCTTCCCTTGATGAGCGAGACTAAATCACGGGAAGCTGGGATGACCCCGTTACGGTCATCCCCGAGTCAGAGCATCAGCCGGTGGAGCCGGTTCTCTGCCGGCTGCGGTCGCTTGGGCAGTGCCCTGGTTGTTTCCCCTTGCTGTGTAAGATTTCCATAAATTATCCTTGATTTGGGGCAGTTGAAGCAGATGAGTAGCAATGGGCTCGGTGGTTTCCTCTGTCCCCAAGGAGGGCGACATGCATGGCTGGCACTGGCCCATCACCCTAACACGATGCTCTCACCCTCTTGAACATCCCTTGGCCCTGTGGCTTCTCCCTTTTTTTAGACTATTTCAATTTTCTCCGACCTTTTTTGTCGGCTATTTCACTTTTCTCCAACCTTTCCACCGTATAAAAAAATAAATTACTGGATAAGATGCACAAACAGACTTTTCCACATGATGAGCTCCCGGTCCTTGAGCTGTGCCCTAGATGCAATAAAGTTGTTCCTAAATAATTAAGCAGGTAATAATGAACCGTGCTCCCTCCGTGCAATGTTTACAGCTGATTTTTAACACAAAGGAAAATTCCAAGCGTCCTTCGTGGCGTGCAGTTGTTGCATCTCAAGCCCTTGGGCAAGGGGGAGCTGAGCTGGGGTGGTGGAGCTGGATGGGAGCATCCTGCTCTCTGTGTTGGCATTCTGGAAAGCACCGACTGTTGCTCCCAAGTGTGGTTTTGGGGCTGCCAAGGCAAATATCTGCCAACTTTTCCCTGGAGGAGAAAGACCACGGTAGAGGTGAGGGACCCCTCAAACCCTGAGATATGGTTTGGGGTTATGGAAAACAAAAAAAAAAAAGGGTTCCAATTAATGTATGGGTGGTGGTGGTGGTGGGGTGCAGCACCCGACCTGCTCATTTTAAACATATTTTGTGGTTGTGGAGCCTTCGGTAGGGATAAATTGTGATTCTTTGCCCTTTTCCATCAAAAACTGGAATTTTGAGCGGGATGGGCTGAGCAGAGGCAAACGCTGCAGAAAACACCACGGGACCGCTCGGCTGTGGATTTCTTCAGAGGAGCAAGGGAAAAAAAAAAAAAAAAGAAGGAGTTAGGCTGTAGCCCCCGCTATTAATCATAGCTGTAATCATGCATTTAATGAACATGACAGCTCCTGCTCCCTCTGGAGAGACGCGTCGAGTCTCACGGCTGGCTTAGGTACAACAATCACTTCTCAACGCTCGCGCTTGATAACACCGAGAGCCGCCGGAGCAGCCAGTGTCAGGTTGGGGATGATGCATTAAGAGAAACAACCCCCGTTTGCACGGGCTGTGTATTTCCTTACAGATGATGCGCTTCAATCCGACTAAATCATTAAGAAGGCGGGAAAAAAAAAAAAAAAAAAAAGTCTAGAA